GCTTGTATAACTCTGCAGGAGGCACTTTGTGAATTTTGTAAGCTTCAGAGAATTGCTGAGATTTGCTGTTGTTTACTTCCTGAGTCTTAAGGAGTTTTAGTACAGGATAGGGTTTTTCAATTCCTGAAGAAATTCACTAGACATGCTCTTTTTTTTCCTGTAGCTCTTATCATGATATGTCCTAAGTCTTGAAGAGGAAGATATAAGTGTCTGAAGATTTTTCCTCTATTTATGACTAGGCATTGGGCCATTATGCCACATCCATTGCCCTGTGTTATTCAGGAGCTGGACTGTTCTCTGTTATCTGTCTCTGCAGTATGCCTCTCATTTCAAGAAAGGAGTTTTATTCCATCATTGAAGAAGAATGACCAAGACAGTCTTCTAGGAACAAAAGCATAAATGTTTGAGAACATTGTTTGAGAAGCACAGTAAGTCCACTTAACAAAATAATAATAGCACATGATTCCCCACTGATGCCTCAAACTTCCCCAGTCATGGGGTTTCAATCAGGTTACAATACTAGACACAAATTCCTTCCTGTGGAATGGGCCTCACATCCAATCAGAAAGAAGTTGAATATACCCATAAAAATCTTGTCACTATTGCATGAGTGGACACAACTCATCCAATAGATAGGTAGTTAGCACATAGACTCTTTTTATCTCCCTTCTATGCAAATGCTCCTTCCCCTCCTGGTAAATCGTGTGTTGCCACAAAATCCAGGCAGTGAGGCCAGAGTAGCTTTCATCATCACATGTATTTCTGTATCAGCTAAGCAGTCTGTGGACAATGATTCAGTCCATACTCATAATAACCTAGAGAGGCATTATATAATGCACCTCTACAAAAGAGAAAATGAGCCCTGAAGAAGTTCATCTGCCCCAGTTAACCTGGAAAGTTTTCTAGTAACTAATCACTAAAGGATCCTTGATGTGTACCTGGATTTGTCTGCCCTTAGCACAGAACAAGCTTTCTGCACTTATGTGGGGTCTATGGTGCAGATACTCTCAGTCCCCGTTAATACTACAACTGCCAAAAAAACGGAGAAAACTTCTCCTGATGAGCTGGCAGTTCAAGCAATCACAGGCTATTGATTAAGACAAAATCACATTATTCAGAGAGCTACCAGCTTGAGATGGCCTCCCTGTCTAGTTTGCTGGTGGTTATTCAGCCATTCAGAGCTTCTGGTATCTTAATTTTGTGGTTTGGCCTTGGAGTGCTACAAAGATCATTAAGTTAGAAATACTTCAAAAATAAAACAACAAAAACAAACCCAGGATCTTACTTTGTAGCCTTGACTAGCCTGGAACTTGCTACATTGACCAGGCTGTCCTCAAACTCAGAGACCTGTCTGTTTCTATCTTTCCAGTACTGGAATTAAAGATGTTCACCACCAAGTCCAGCAAAAATCACTTTCTAAACATAGACAATTTCTAATAAATACCAACATCTCTAGATGAATTAATCAGGATATGCATAAAGACACATGGAATTTATACACACTCACCTATGCCCTTGGCATTGTTAAAGCTACACTGAGACTCCAATCAAGTCTTGGCCATTACTGGCTCATTGCTAACATAATAATCTTAATGTGACCATTGACTTTTCCTCCCTAGCAAAAGAGCAGGTTCAGTATTAAACATTTTCTGCAAGTCTGGTACCATAGAGAACTCACTGCATTACACACACACATAAATAGAGAAGGCTTTTTTTGTAAATATGGAATACAGAAGAAATGTTTTTATAGGAAAAGTGGTCACCAAAGATAGAAGAAAGAATGAGCATGCATATTTAATTGGGGGTTTCTGGCTAGAAGAGTTATCTCAGATGGTAAAGTGCTTGCTGTACAAGTACAAGGACATTAGTTCAAATCCCCAAAGGAAAATCATCAAGGTGGTATATGCCTGTCACTCCAATACCTACTGGGTAGAGACAGGTGGATCCAAGTACTCCCAGGCAAGTTAGTTTAGTGAAAAAGTGAATTCGAGGTTTATTGAGAGACTGTCTCAAAAAATGAATTGGAGACGTTATTGAGGAAGACATCCCAAGAGCAACCTGCTTATACAGGGCAAAAACAAACTTGGAGGAAAAGGTTTTGTTTTATCATAGACCTGATAGTTTATAGTCTATCTCTGAAGAAAGCCAAGGCAGGACCTGGAGCAACCCAAAGTGCAGAAATGCTGCTTTTGGCTTGTTCTCCATGGTTAGCTCAGCCTATTTTTCTACAAATAGAACAGGACCACCTGCCCAAGTGTAGCACCACCTGAAGTAGGCTGGATATTCTCACATTAATTATAAATCAAGAAAATGCCCAACAGACATGCCCACAGGCCAACCAATATTATCATAAATAGCTAGGCATGCTGGTAAGAATTCTTGGGATCTGCCACTCACCTCAATGCTCCAGTTACAGGCATTCTGATGTTCAGTCATGCCTAGATTTTTTATGTGGTAGCTTGGGATTTGAACTCAGGTCTTTATGCTTGCTGAGCCAGAGCCCTTACCCACTGAGCCATCTCCCTAGTTTTCATAGCAAATTATTGCTCTCTTCAGAGGATATGGGTTGGATATAAAATTAAGTGGTTGACTTCATAGGGACCTAGATAGGTTTTAGCAGTTTTGTAGGCTATTGAAGAAGGGTCCCTCCCTCATAATCAGAAACTTGTTAAGCCAGAAATTGAAACCCCAAGGCTTTGATTATTGGGCAAAAGAACAGAATCCATGACACTTTTTTTCTTTTTGCAAAATGTTTATTCTATAAATGCACTGCATTCAGAGGGTGTTAACACTTTAAATGTTTATCGTTTCTAAGTAATGAGAATAAACATTTTTTATCAGAAATGTAGCTAACAATTGATTATTAATATGTTTTAATAGATCTAAAGTTCTCACAAATTTTAGTACAGGTAGTTTTATTGTATGTTTCATCTAGTAAATGATTAAAATTAACAGTATGTAGAACTAATTGTTTCCAACTGAGCAAATATACCATGTTACCAAACCAACCCAAAAGTGCTTGGCAAGCTGAATCAATTAGAAAGACGTAATAATTGGGGTTACAGGAATTGTCAGTGTTTTCAAAGTTCTTCAGAATTACCCAGAAAAACAAATCTCTGACACTTAGGTGTTGGAAGATCAGTTTCACAGTAATATAAATTAATTTGCATTTACATTCATTTTAAATATATTGCTATGATATTGACCTCACATTGGTGTTTCCAGTGTGCACAATTTACAGTTTCAAGATTTACATATGTAACTCACTAATGTACGGGATGGTCATTACCTCTGTAACTAAACCTAAGCAGAAAAAGAAACCACTACCCTACATACAACTATAAAAATGGTATGACTTCTAATAGATGAATGCAACACGGCTTTTCATATTTGAACTGTTTTCTAAATACCAGTATGTAAACTTGCATATTTAATATATGAAAGCTATCACTTTATTCACTGAGAAATTATGCATTTATTTTGCTCAACCATCTCTCTCAATTTATCTCAACAATTTCTTGACTTGCTGTTTGAGTCAGTGAATCATAAACTGTATTTCTTGGTGGGGAGGGGAAAAGAAGACAAACACTGTATGAGAAAATAAATCTTCCCAAATTAATTCTTACATTTTTCCCTTTTATATCATTTTAAAAATTCACCCCCAAAGCTAAATCTTTTTTTTTTTTTTTTTTTTTGAGACACGGACTCTCATTAGGTAGTTCTGGATGGACTGAATCTCATGTAAACCAGGTGGGCCTAGAATTTAGATCCATCTGCCTTTGCCTATAAAGCTGGATGAAGATGTGTATGACTCCCAATCTAGAAGCACTTTTATGTTTTTAACACCAATACAAATAAATTAATGGCAAACTAGTACCATCCTGCATCCTAAAATTCTAATCCATCCTAAAATTCTAATTTTCTTGATAGAAGAATAAAATTTTTCAATAATCCATTATAATGGTTAGGTTAGATCTATGATTTGATTAAGTTGGTCAAAGTAGTGAGAAATCACAATCCAGGAAATGGTGTGTTATTTTGGTTGTAGAGGTGAAGACTCAAAGAACAGAGATTAACAAACCAGTAAAACAATGTGTCTAGTCACAGGGCAGTTTGAACCTCTGAAATCTATTTAACCTATCCATTATTCAGGTCTGGAACAGAATTTGTCAATTTCTTTTGGATCATCTCTATCCTTTTCTTGAATATCAGACTGATCAGTACTCAGAGCTTCACACCCAATCAGAGCTTAATAGCTAGCTCAGTACAATACAACATTTTGTTTTGTTTTGTTTTTTTATTAGTTTAAAATTAGGAACAATCTTGGTTCACATGGCAATCCCTTCTCCCTCTCCCTCCCCTCCGCTGCATGCCCTTCCCCTCAACTTTATAACACAGTATTAGTAATTTCAAAAATCAAACTAAATTCCAAACTACAAAAAGATGTACTCAAGTATTACATTCAGGTTTCAAATCATTTGCTAACATGACAAAAGATTTGGCTTCAATCACTTTGTCCATAGTCACACCCAAAACAGACACCTCTTCTACTGACCTGCTCTTCAACACAAGGCCATTCGTCAGAGATGGCAGTTTTCAAGCCAAACATTTAATAGAATAAAAAAAATTAATTTCTAATTTTTACAGAAATGGTTCTTCAAAAACTTTATTCTCCGACTCCCTCATCTCCTATACTGAAGGATGTATAATATTTTTTGTTTTCTTTCCCAAACTAAATCTGAACCATCAAAATTGATCCCAGGCAGAAATCCCTGCAAATTAACATCAAAAGCAAAAATAGAACAATTATATTTAATATATGCGTATATATAAATATTTATATATATTTATACTCATTGGAAATATCCAACAGTTGAAAATCACTTTGAGTTGAAGTTTGGGAATGTCTTAAAATTCCAAAATATATCATATATAAGGACATACTTCCCATCTTTCCTGGCTACTTCCTCCCTTCAAAACAGTTCAATATAGGCTCAAGTTTAGTGGGAAGAGACAAGTTTCTGAGTAGTTTTTGTTATGTTTTGCTTTTGTTTTGGTGATCTGGGCGGGACAAACCGCTTTTTCCCTTTACTTTGAGACACTCCCTGAGGTTTAGCCCTATGGCTAAACTGGCGTCTCTGTTCCCTGATTTTTCTAGCTGCTACTTGGGGAATGGTATTGCCTCGAAAGACAGAATGATACTTACTAGCCCTTTTTTCAGGTTTCTCTTGTGTTTTCTCAACAGGCTTCTTGGGCACTCATTCTTTTCCTTTCTGTTGGGAGTTGCCACATTAGAAGGCATTTCCCTTAGCGGTTGTACAGGAACTGAAGCTGTTTTTTTTAGGATGCTTCCAACACACTTCAGTGTAAGTTAACTTTCGAGGTTCCTGTAGACTCACAGCTGTGGGTGTGTTTACCTTACTACAGCAAGGTGAAGCAGTGTGTGGCCTTGATGGCTTTGCAGTAGCTGGGGAGGAAATTGGGACAGTCATCTGGTTGATAACATCCTTTGGAGGTGAGGAATCCTCCCTTTGATCCTCCTCTTGCTGAGTTGTGCTTAATGCAGGAAGCTCAGCAGTGCAAGAAGGACTGGGATTTAAACTGAGTTGCTGGACAGAAGCAAAGTCTTTCTGTTCATGCTCTGAATGCACTGGGAAACTAACACTCACTTCTTCAGTATCCTTTTCTTTCTTGACATCTTTAATGACATCAGACATTCTATTCTCCAACACAAGTTCATCTGGCATTCTTGATGAACTTCCAGGAAAAGGAGGAACATTTGTAGCTACTAAGTCAAACTTTGGTGTTGAAGCCTTTGCTTCAGTTGATGAACTAGATCTGCTCAGTGGTCCATCCCCCAATGATACAGATCCTTCTTTTGAGTGTTCTGAACCACAGGATGACCTAAAATGAGGCTTCCAAGGATTGTTTTGGAATGGTGGGCAAATATTAATAGCAATATCATTTGTTTCATACGATCCTGGTGAGGTAAAGCCATTCACAAAACTACCAGTGTGAAAAGGATGTACTGTTACACAGTAAGGTGCAGGACTTGGAAACCAAGACTGAGGCACAGTACTATATCCTGAGTACTGCTGATGAGTGTAATACACTGGCTGCATAAAGACTGGTGAGGGATATTGAGTTGACATCTGAATGGGTTGAGTAAACATACTAAAATCCATTAATGGATAATCATTCTTAGCCAAAAATATAGCAGTGGCTTTTATTCTTGCCATGAATGGCTTGCCCTGAAACGTTTTAACTTCTTCCCTTAAATATTGAAAAGCCTGTTGTGCATCTGTGTCTGACTGGAAAGTGATATACCAAGTGCTGTTTTGTGCGAATTCACAGCTTATCACTTTGGGGCAGTTTCCATTTTTAAACAAAGCTTTAACTTCCTCTACTGGTGTTGTTTCAGGAATTTCTCTGAGAATTACAATACAACGCTTATGACTTGGTCTCACCTTCTCTCCCTTTTCATCAACTTGTACTAGAGGAGACGATCTCAACACTTCAAGAATTAAATCTTGATCTGGGGTCAGTTTTTTTATTTCCTCCAGGTTGGCAACTGTCGATATTGGAATGAACTGATTACCATCCATTTGAGATGTCAAGTAAAGATCCTTTGATAAATTTTCTCGGGAGAAACAGAACTCTAATTGTTTTTTCAAACATTCTTTTAAATCTGTAGAAATTGTTGAGATGCTTTCTCCAGATTCATCGTTTATTTGGTAATGCAGATCTTCAGGTCCTGAAATCATTCCATCAATCATTTGAACAGCAAAAACAAAAATAAAAAAGGGCTTCAAGAAAGCTGTCTGCTCTGGCTCCGTAATGGTGGTACACGCCTTTAATCCCAGTACAAGGTAGGCAGAGAAAAGGGAGATCTCTGTGTTTTAAAGATCAGCTAGAGACCAACCGGGGCTACATAATAATAACCTGCCTTCAAAGAAGTCCCAAGGCCCAGCTGTGGTGGTGCACACCTAAATTCCCAGGACTCAGGAGGCAGAGGCAGGCAGATCTCTGTGAGGTTGAGACCAGCCTGGGCGACAAGGGCTAGTTCCACGACAGCCTCCAAAGCCATGGCGAAACCCTGTCTTGCACC